ACGGTCGCCGTCATCCACAAAAATTATGTGCTGATGGTTACACTGAGTGTGGCAGTGAATCGTCCCTTATCAAATATATAAGACTGCAGAACTGCGAAATGCTTCTGGACCGAAAACACTTATTTTTATTTAGACTCAGATTTGTCGTTTGAGGATAGAAGGCTGTGAGCCTACATTACTCCTTTGCCAGTAGCTTTTTGGGCTTGTCCAGCCCTCTTTTGAATATGTCAGGATACCACTTCTGCGTATCGCTTCAGGGAGTTGTTTACTTGACGCGAAAACCAGTACTTTGCGGAGACTACGTTCTTCCTTTGCTTTTATATCTCCCGCTATAACCTCTGACGTGCCCCGACCTAGTGGGTAGGAAAAGAGTAGATATATCACTCTTAAAGTCATTTCTTAGAGCTCTGTATTGCGCAGTTACATCTTTCCTCTGTCTGCAGGAGGGTAAAGAGAAGGGGTTCAGTTACTTAAGTTGATCTTCATAGATCAGCTCAGCCATCTCAGAGATCATACGAGTAGCTTCCCTATGAATTCTTTCCAGATAGTCTGGGTCACCTTTCAGATAAGGATTCGCCGCCTGTGTACAGTTTTCTTATTTATACCTAACAAATAATGGGTATAAGATGGTGGACATATCATCATTTATTTTCATGAACGTTCTGCATAGTGCCTAAAATGTCCGGGCTGCAACCAACCGACAGTGTGCATGCTCACACATTTATCTGCGTTGATAGGCCAGGTAGATAAATAGAACAGCGTAAAGTTGGTAGAAGCCATAGACTGAAAATTAATCCTTCACCTATATCAAGGGTTGTGTGACTGAACTTTTGCTTTTACATCCTTAATCGGTTGGAGAGAAGAAAATTTCTTGGCACCATATCTGGTAGTCATTACACATGCAAATAAAATACAAATACAGTTGAAAAAATATTATCCTCGGCCTATTCTCTGGTAATTATTCTTGTATTCTGAATACAATCTTCTTGCCTGGACCTCAGGAGTGTGAAGAAATTATTGGAATGGTTACTTATTCGTTATTGTGAACTTAGGTATTCGCGTTGTACCGTCATGTTTTCTTCGCATCACTTACCATAGCAGTTCCGAAATAAATTGTATATATCCTCGGTCGTTTCATTTTATTCCTCTAGATTTATGCATTCCAATTCATTTTTTCTACTGTGCACGACATTATTTTAGAACTCGTCACAAGCAGTGAATCATTTAATGACAACGTGAAATTTACTCATTAGACGTTGTGATTAATGTTTTCCTTACCTATGAGGTATCTTTAATTGGTATTGATTATTCCGTCATTTCATTTAGAAATATCCAGTGAATATCATTGTAAATAATAAAAATAATTAATTTAAACACTTCTATCAATTACAGAGTTCATCTACATACCTTGTTTAGACGGTATCTTAAAATTTTTCAAAGCTTTCAGAACTAGCAGGCTTACGATTTCTGTGCGTTCGAAAACATCTAACCCTATAATGCAACTTTCCATTGAACTTGGTCTTGTGAAAAACTATCGATTGCATACTAACTTTCTATGCACTAGTAGCTTGACTCCTCATTTCATAATTTTACCTGTTCCCTTTGCATTAACTTGCACCAAACGTGTACACTTAAGTACTAACTGCTTAAACATATTGCATTTCTGCAGTTAAATTACGTTTTCTTACTTTTTTGTTAGACTTTTTGTAGGGAATGGACTACTCTATGTGTGATTACTTTTGGTGCTTAGATGACACGAAAAATTCGATCTAACTTACATTAAGTTACAAATACATGCACTGAATTTATATTTCGTTTAAAAAGAATTG